ATCTCGGCTCACTGCAACCTCTGCCTCCTGGGTTCAAGCGATTCTCCTGCCTCAGCCTCCCAAGTAGCTGGGATTACAGGCTCCTGCCACCACGCTTGGATAATTTTTGTATTTTTAGACGGGGTTTCACCATGTTGGCCAGACTGGTCTTGAACTCTTGACTTCAGGTGATCTGCCCACCTCAGTCTCCCAAAGTGCTGGGATTACAGGCATGAGGCACCACGCCCGGCCTTTTTTTTTTTTTGAGACATAGTCTTGCTCTGTTGCCCAGCTCAGGCTGGAGTGCAGTGGTGTGATCATAACTCACTGCAGCCTCAAACTCCTGGGCTTAAGCAGTCCTCCTGCCTCAGCCTCCTGAGTAGCTAGGACTACAGGTGTGCATCACACCCAGGTAATTTTTAAAAATTTTTTGTAGAGACCAGGTCTCACTATGTTGCCCAGACTGGTTTTGAACTCCTGGGTTCAAGTGATCCTCCGGCCTCATCCTCCCAAACTGCTAGGATTATAGGCATGAGCCACTGTGCCAGGCAGCATCTACATTCTTATGATATTGAAAACATTCATGGTGAGTCCAGATCTCTCCATCTGAACTAGAGACTCAGGAATCCCACTGCTGCTCCACCAGACTCTGAACCCTCTGTCCCCACCAGTTCCCACCTGGGCCAGCCCTCACTGGCTGGGATGACAGCTACAGCTTCCTCTGCTGTCCCAGTTTCTGCCCTATACCCTACAGGCTTCCCCCATAACACCCTCCCCCTCCAAACCCCAGGACCCAGGTAACAGTGGAATCAGACCAGGCAGCTGGAGTCCATCCCTTGCCTACTCTGCCTTTATCCTTCCAGGCTGCCAGGCCCCCCTGCTGTGCCACATGCCCAGACTCCCAGTCCCTCAGACACACCCCTGATTGACTTGGCCCCTGTTCAGTGCTTCCCCGTTGCCACCCCATAGGTAAGAGCCCCCCACAACCCTCTCCAGTGGTATTATTCCCACAGCTGTCACTCTCACCACCACCTAGGTCTGCTTGCTAACAGTCTGCTCTCCCGGCCCCCACCACCAAAATTCGAGCTCTAGGAGGACAGGGGCTTCTTTGTTGACTGAACGAACAGCACTGGGGCTCCAGAAACTCTCAGACCAGCTGAGCGACTGTGCTCAGCAAGGGGGCAAGAGCACAGCCCGGCCAGACTCCCCCCATTAACCCATTCAGCCTCTAGAGGGGACAAGGAGGCAGCGCTCACCTGGCGGAAGGTGTACTCAGCCACTTGGTAGAAGAGGCGCAGCAGCACAGGGTCCCCACTCTCACTGTAACCCATGAGGAAGGCAATCATGGCTTCGCTGTGTGGCCACCAGAGCTTCATGGCCCACTCCAGCTGAGGGGAGAGCAGGGACAGGCATCTCAGCAGGACACTCCCCTCCCCAACTTTCCAGACCTGGCTGTATCTCCATTGACCCAAGCTACTGGAGGTGAATTGGGACACCTTTGGAGGTTCTGAAGGACCCTCCCAGTGACATCAGCTTCCTGAGCTGTAAGTCCTTGCATGGACACCAGGGCTCCAGACGAATGGCACATACGTCTGAGCATCAGCGTTTCACCAGCTCCCTGGTGGCTTCCATATGACACGGGACTGGGGAGCACTGGTGTCAGAGGCGTGTGAACCAGAGCAACTCCATCTTAAATAGGAGCTGGGTCAAATGAAGCTGAAACCTACTGGGCTGCATTCGCAGACGGTTGAGGCATTCTAAGCCACAGGACGAGATAGGAGGTCAGCACAAAATACAGGTCATAAAGACCTTGCTGATAAAACAGGTTGCAGTAAAGGAGCCAGCCAAAACCCACCAAAACCAAGGTGGCCATGAGAGTGACCTCTGGTGGTCCTCACTGCTATACTCCCACTAATGCCATGACAGTTTACAAATGCCATGGCGACATCAGGAAGTTACTCTATACGGTCTAAAAAGGGTAGGCATGAATAATCCACCCCTTGTTTAGCATATCATCAATAAATAACCATAAAAATGGGCAACCAGCCAGGTGCGGTGGCTCTCGCCTGTAATCCCAGCACTTTGGGAGGATGAGGTGGGTGGATCACCTGAGGTCGGGAGTTCGAGACCAGCCTAACCAACATGGAGAAATCCCGTCTCCACTAAAAATACAAAATTAGCCGGGCATGGTGGCCCATGCCCGTAATCCTAGCTACTCGGGAGGCTAGGGCAGGAGAATCGCTTGAACCTGGGAAGCAGAGGTTGCAGTGAGCCGAGATGGCGCTATTGCACTCCAGCCTGGGCAACAAGAACAAAACCCCACCTCAAATAAATAAATAAATAAATAAATAAAATTAAATTAAATTAAAATAAAAAATAAAAAGGCAACCAGCAGCCCTCAGGCCTGCTCTGCCTATGGAGTAACCATTCTTTTATTCCTTTACTTTCTTAATAAACTTGCTTTCACATTGCATTGCGGACTCGCCCTGAATTCTTTCTTGCGCAAGATCCAAGAGCCCTCGTCTGGGGTCTGGATCACAACCCCTTTCCTGTAACACTGGCACAGAAGCTGAGAGCAGGCCGCTAGGTTCCAATCCAGCCCCAGGTTACCCTCTAGAGAAGCACCCACCTCCCCAGGCAGAAAGCCTTAGATCAGCGTGGGTCACACATGGCCCTGGGTGCTCTCCCACCTGGGTGGGGCAGAAGTCATCAGCATCCTGGAAGTAAAAGAGGCCTCCATGGTCAGGGTCCCATCCGGAGCGGAAGGGCAACAACAGGAACTTGTCAACCACGTGGGCTCGAAGTTCAGGGTCGCCTTTCCGAATGCAATGACGGAGCAGAAACCAGCCGGCCTCCAGTGCGTGGCCTGGTGAGGGTTGGAGTACGGAAGAGCGGGGTTGGGGCTGAGGGACGGGACAGAGGGAGCAAAAGCCCTTGGCACCTCTCTGCTCCCTCCCTAACAGTGAGCAAGGTTCTGAGCTCCCTGGCCCTGGAAGCCTGCTCCTCTGCAGAAATCCCCAGCCTCCGGAAGCCCATCCTCTCTCCTCTGCCTCCTCAAGGCGTCCCCCCAGGCACTCCTACATCTGAAGCCCAGAACGCAAGGCTCAGTGTTCCCCTCCTCCTGGGTGGCCCCCAGCCTACCCTGCCGCTCACCTGGGTTCTGCTGTCTCCCCAGGCAGCCAGAAAGTTCCTTGCCATCCTCTGACACATTCTCCAGCACAGCTTGTCCATCCCTCTACCGGGAAGCAGCAGAAGGGAATGTTGCCTCCAGCCCTTTCACCCACCCAGCCACCCAACTAGAAAGACCCAGCCCCCGAAATCCCTTCCTCCCTCCCTCTCACCCAAGCTGGCTTGGGTGGGCCAGGCTCAGAGGGGCATTTGAGGAGGGGCCGATTCACTCCCTTGGGCCTAGCAAGTTGTTTTTTCATTTTTTAGACAGAGTCTTGCTCTGTCACCCAGGCTGGAGTGCAGAGGCCGCAATCTCGATTCACTACAACCTCCACCTCCTGGATTCATGTAATTCTCCTGCCTCAGCCTCCCTAGTGGCTGGGATTACAGGCATGCACCAGCACGCCCAGCTAATTTTTGTATTTTTAGTACAGACAGGGTTTCACTATGTTGGCCAGGCTGGTCTCGAACTCCTGACCTCAAGTGATCCGCCCGCCTCAGCCTCCCAAAGTGCTGGGTTTACAGCCAGGAGCCACTGAGTCCAGCCAGGGCCTAGGAAGTTGTAATCCTCGCTTCTGGCCCGATCCTCTCCAGCAGAGGAGGGTGAAACATTGAATGGGGACAGACAGGGCGGGTTTCATGGCCCAGAGGCCTGGAAGGGACTTAGGGACTTGGGTGGGGCAGGGGTCTCCTTCTATCAGGCCTTGCCTGGGGCTCCACACCCTCCCGCCAGCCTTCAGGCCCTCCACCTTCCCCAGGTGGGGACCTCCCCGAATCTCTGTCTCTCCAGGTGTGTCAAGCCCCAGGGCACCCAGGGGAGTGGGGGAGTGGAGGGCCTCCCACCACCCCAGCTCCCCAGGCATCCCCCACCTGCACGTGCTGCAGAATCCTCTGGGCGCACCAGTCCCCCAGCTCTGTGTATTTGCCTGCCAGCTCCTCATCTGCCTCCCCAAGCTGCTCTACCAGGTTCAGCAGCATCATGGGCACCGCCATGGGCTCCGCAGTCGGGGCCCCCTGGAGCTGGGGCCGGCCCAGTCCCGACGCGTCCTCCCGCACCCAGTGGACGATCTGATCCATCATCTCCACGGCTTCCGTCTGGGAGTGCAGGAGGCGAGGGGAGGCCCAGGCTGAGGCTACATCCTGTCCCATCCCCCAGGACACAGCCTTGGGATGAGAGAGTCAGTTCCTCTCCTGAAACCGAGACACGTTCACCCAGGGCCTACTTGGGGCCTGGCACCCGGCGTCCAGTAGGGACCAGGCAGATCCGCCCACTCTGCCTTGGGGGCTCCCAGTCTGGGGGTGCAGTCCCTTCCAGGCTGTGGGGTCAAGGTCTGGAAGCACAGGGAGCCCAGGGAGGAGGGAGGGGCCTCTTCCCAGCTGGGGGCAGGGCGTGGATAGGGCCCTCTCTGTCTGCGCCCCTGTGGGGGTAAGGGAGCGTTCAGAGGTGAAGGGGACTTGGCCCACAGATGGGTCCATGGCAGTGGACTTGCGTAGTGAGTGGGAATGCATCAGGTGGCCATGGCAGGGTCCCAGGGTGGGGTCTTCAGGGGCACCGTCCTCTCACACACCTGGTACCGTACTTCCCCTGTGGCCCTCCACAGCTCGTTCATGGCCATGGTGTAGAAACACTCGCTGAAGATGGTCCGCTGCACCTTGACCGGACGGCCGTCCCGAGTCAGCACAAAGGCACACTTCTTGCCAGGAGGTGCCAGCCGCGCATAACGCAGCAAGAACTCACCACCTGGAGGTTGGGGGGTTGGCATGCCAGGAGTAAGGTCAGGACGCCCCACACACACCACCCTTGAGCCTCCCCAGTCCATTCCTGCTTCTAGACCCCTCTAGGAACTCCGCACATGTGCCCTGTTGAGTAAACATGGACAGAGTCACTGGGAGATGGGCAGGAAGGGAGCACCTGCTTTTGCTGCATTCAGAAGCTGAGAGTGGTGGAAGCGCTGGAAAGTGCGGTACAGGCGACAATACATCCACACCTGCGGGGTACGGGAGGGAACGTGGCCTAAGCGGCCGGCTGGGGTGAGGTGGGGAGACCTTTGAGGCGATGGGCCCTGTGCCTGAAGCTTCCAGGCTGGGAACACCGTACCTGCCTCCCCTGCAGCCACACGTACTTGAGGTCATCATACACCCGTCCCTCGCGGCCAAGGCACGTGAAGAAGCCCCTGTGGGAACGCGGGATTAGCAAAGTCTGGAAGGGGCCTTGCCAGCCCCTCCTGCCCCTCCGGGGTCAGCAAATCTGTGAGGTGCCTGAGAGTAAGGAGGGGCCTCAGGAAGGGCAAAAACCCTGCCGAGGACTCCAGAAGCTGCCGAGTACCCGTGCTCCTGGTCGTGGGAGTGCTCCATCCAGAACGCCACTACACGGTCCAGCTCCTGCCCCACGCGCTCCTTCCAGGCCTGCAGAGTCTCTCGCTCTTTCTCCATGTCCTAGGGGAACCGGGGCTTGAAGGCGCAGCCCCCGCATGGGACCTAGGCCCCCCAGCCTCGGGAACCAGCCCTCGGGGATCCCCCCACCTCTGCACGGGGCTTCAGACGTCACCATCCCCGGGACCCTCCAAGGCAGGACTCCCTGCACGCACCCCACCACTGGCCTGCCGCGCTCGGAGACCCTTGCTCATCCCTCCCTCTCCTCTAGGAAGCCAGACAGAGTTGGTCGCGGTCCCGTGACTGTCACTCAGCTGACAGAGCCGCGCCCGGCTCACCCACCCCCTCCTCTTCAGGTTCCGCTGGGCCTGGGGGCGGGGCTTTGAGGCCCCGCCCCCGCGCTTGTTCCTGACGCGACCCTCCCCTAGAATGGGCCAGTCCCGCCAGGGCCCCTGCTGGGTGCCCTGATCTCAAGATCCTGCTTGGTGGGAAAAGCTGGGATGGCCGGACGGTCTGGGATGAGGGGGAAGGGGAAACGGGGCTGCCACCCACCCCGCCCTACACCAGCTACCTTTAAGGGAGCCCGGAGAGGGGCCCTAATGTGCCCTTCTAATGTGCCCCCTAATGTGTCAGGGGCCCAGGCAGGGCGGCTGAGGGCCTTGGCCCTACCAAGCCTGTAGGGCAGGGGTGCAGCAGGACAGGGAACAGCTAGTGGGCCTGAATGCAGGTCCCTCTGACCTGTCACCACATAGGGTAGACAAGAGGCAAGCTTTTTTTTTTCTTTTTCTTTTTCTTTTTTTTTTTTTTGAGATAGTGTCCTGTTGCCCAGGCAGCTCACTGCAGCCTCGACCTGCCAGGCTCAAGCGATCCTCCCACCTCAGCCTCCTGAGTAGCTGGGACCACAGTTGTGTGCCACCACGCCTGGCTAATTTTTGTATTTTTAGTGGAGACAGGGTTTTGCAATGTTGCCCAGGCTGGTCTCGAACTCCTAAGCTCAAGCGATCCTCCTGCCTCAGCCACCCAAAGTGCTGGGATTACAGGCATGAGCCACCGCACCCAGCCTAGCAAGTCCTCTCTTTTGAATCAGTTTGTCACCAACTACCTCAACAGTCAGTAATGAGGAGCCATTGGCGCTGACTTCTTTTTTCTGAGATGGAGTCTTGCTCTGTCACCCAGGCTGGAGTGCAGTGGCACAATCTTGGCTTACTGCAACCTCTGCTTCCTGGGTTTAAGCAATTCTCCTGCCTCAGCCTCTGGAGTAGCTGGGATTACAGGCGCCTGCCAGCACACCCGGCTTTTTTTTTTTTTTTTTTTTTTTTTTTTTTTTTTTTTTTTTGGTAGAGACAGGTTTTCACCATGTTGGCCAGGCTGGTCTCAAATTCCTGACCTTGTGATCCACCTGCCTCGGCCTCCCAAAGTGCTGGGATTACAGGTGTGAGCCTCCGCACCCGGCCTCGGCACTGACTTCTTTACACAAGTGACACAGCTCTAAGGCCAGACAGTAACTGCAGGTGAGCCCACACCCCCGTTCTCTGGGCCTGTTTTCCAGCTGCCCAAATCTGTCTGTAGCTCTATGACTGACCCGATGATGCTACAAGGCAGCTGGGCTGAGCTGTTCCCTACCTTCCAGGCCAACAGCCCACAGAATGGTTCCAGCCTTTGGGCGTGGTGCTGCACTGCTGGTCTTTGATGCTACAGTGACCGTCTGAGTCCCTGCTGCAGGCTGACCCACCCAACCCCAAACAGTTCCCCTTCAGGGTGCTTGGTAATGAGGCTGACGCCCCTGGCAGCTGGGGAGGCATCCTCTGTGTGCTCGCACCCACCCTCGGCCTTGGCTCATGCTCAGGGGATGAGCTTTGTGCGCAGCCGGGCACAAAGTATCTACCTGCCCTGCTCACAGGCCTGTCATGTTCATGTCCAGCCTCCCTCCTGCCTCCCCAGGCTGAGTGGTGCCCTCAGACGGAAACTCGGTATTTTCAGATAAACACCAGAGGCATGGCTGATGTGGCCCTTGCCTTCTGGAGTGTGATGCAGCCGCGGTGAGACAGGTGAGCTGAAGGAAGGCAGAGGGTGGGTATCCCCGCAGGTGCCAGCTACAGGAGTGGGGTGGGAAGAACCCTTGTACCACCCCCACCAGGCAAAGCGCCCAAAAAGTCATTTGCCAAAGGTATGGCAAATCCGCAAGGCCCCTCGGTTCTGGGGCCAGCCCCATGTGGCCCCTGGCCTCCACCAGCCCCAGCCATGACTCCTACCACTCTGCTCTAAAGGACACTTTCCCACCCCTCTCCTTAGGCCTCTGCAAGGCTAGGCTCCAAGGCAGGTCACAGTTGCTGCAGTGGGTAAGACAGAGCCACGGCTCCCGGTGTCAAGCCCTGGCCAGTCTGCTTTCCCTGCCCCCACATGACACAGCACACCCCACATGACAGAGGCTTCCCAGAAGAGGTGGCATTCAACAGGGCCTTGCACACACACCCATGCCACAGGTGGAGACACAGAGGCTTTTGTTACTCCGGGAGCTTCTGGTAGCAGAGTGCCTGGGTGCTCTGAAGAAGACTGGGCAGTAGAGGTGTGTGGGGGAAACAAAGGCAGGAGGCGGGGGGCTTCGAGGGGGCAGGGAATACAGGTGCACCAGGAGCACCAGGCCCCAGAAGCGGGATGTCACTCCCCTTGGACTCGTCTAGGCCTATGCTGCTCCGGCCGCCTTGCCCCGGGGCTTTCTGGGCCTCCTGGTACAAATTCAGCCCACAGGATCCCAGCTGTCCCACCGACCCAGCCACTAGGTGGTCAGTCTGGATCACAAGCTCTGCTTCTTCCCCTTGGGGGCATGGCTCACATGTAAGAGGAAGCCAGAGGAAGGGATCCACCTCTGCAGTACCCATGGTGTACTTGACTCAGCCCACCTACCCCCAAACCCACCCAAGGAGGCTGCCGCTGGTGACCTGCCAGGCCTTTGCCCCATCCTATCCTCTAGTGTAGGAGGGGAGGGAGGGAGGGACATCTGGCCCCAGACACAGGAAGTCAGCAGCAGCTGCCCAAGGGATCCTTTGGCCCTTGCCCCCTGCAAGGCAGCTGCCAAGCAACCTGCTGGAACCTGGTCCGACTTAGTCCAAAGACTGCAGGCCACAGCAGGGGCCTCACTCTGGGGCCTTCTACACTTTCACCAGGGCTCAGGTTCCCCTCCAGGGGGCTCCCGTGAGCCCAGGGCAGGTCTCAGCCTTCCTGCTGAGGCCTCCTGTGAGGATGCCGGGACACAGTGAGACACCTAGTGGTTATTTCAAAAAAAGTCTTTTAATTGTTCAAAATAGCACAAAACGACATCGCACTATGGTAATATTGAGTCACAGGGGTTACTCTACAATAGTGAACGGTGTACTCTCCTCAGAAACAAATCAATAGGCGCGCGAGAGAAGGGATGGGGTAAAACAACAGGACCAGGTGAGTGGGCTCCAAGGTGACTAAACGTGACATTTTCCACAGCGAAATATACTATAATACAACAAACCAGAGGTCCTGGAGGACATAGGCTGCTGCATCTCCAGGCAGAGGTCGGTGGGGGAGGGCTGGAAAGATTGGCTGCTCAGTTTAAATCCTTCTGACTTGCTGGCAAGCCTTGCTCCTTGACGGAAGTTCAGGGTCGGGGCAGAAAACTCCAAACAGATCCCCCAGCCATGGAGGCTGGCCTGGGTAGCTGCTGCTGGCGGCCTGCTCCACTGCCCTAGCCTCCCTTGTGGGTGACATTACAGTTGCCCTCCTGGGCTGCCTCCAAGGACACCTGGTTCCCCTCCATTCTCCACCCTTTCCATGACAATTTGGGGGAGGTGGAGCAGTGCCTGCGGAAAGCAGCAGCCCTGTGTGGGAGGCGGTGCCGGTGGTGCTCAGGGAGGGGGCAGGGGGAGAGCTGGGAGCCCAGGACAAGGAGGCCCCAGCCCTCCCTCAAGCTCCCCCCGCCTCAACCCTATAGATGCGGAGTGATCGCCCATGAGGAATGAGCTGTCCTTCCTTTGTTCCAGCGGCCTGAGGACAGGCAAAAGGGCAGAGGGCAGGGGCCAGCAACAGGAAGTTGGGCTGGGTGGCAAACAGCAGGCCCCACGTAGCAGATTTCACACCTCTCCTGCCCTGGCTGGCCCCAGCTTTTCCTCCAGAAAGATCCCTGCCAAGAATTAGCCAAGAAGAAAAAAATAAAAAAACAAAAACAAAACAAAACAAAAAACAAAAAAACAACAAAAAAAGAAAAAGGATTACACATTCTGTACACAGCTAACAACAAGAAAAAAGGGACAAAACCCCACACGCTAAAATTACAATGAAAGTGTGAACTTCACCAATTTCAACCTAAAAAACACAACAAATGCAGCAGTTGGCAGTGTGGCCTGCAGGGAGGTCTGCACAGGCACTGCCCAGGCCGCCGCGGGGCTCCTTGCCCCTTTTTTCTTTTTCCTTCTTTTCTTTTTTAAAACGGGAAAGAAGAGGGGGAGGGTAGAAGAGGTGGGAGCACAAAGGCCTCTGAGAAAATGTGTAAGCTTCCTGTGGGGTCACTGAGCAGGACGGGCCGGGGGAGCCTGAGGAAGGGAAGTTAGGTGACTGGAAACACAGGGGAAGAAAAGAAAACAGAACCAGACACCCAGGCCAGGGTGCTGGGAAAGCCACTCTGGGGAGGGCCAAGAGGAGTGCCTTTCCTCACTCCATGCCCGCCCCCGACCTGGCCCTCAGGAACGCACAGCCTTGGGAGGGCGGAGCTGGCTGTCCTCAGCTCCGCCTTCCCTCCCCGCAAAGGTCTCTCCCCAGGGTGGGCAGCAGCAGGGAGGAAAAGAAGCGCGCTCCTCTCTCTGCTTTCCCATCTGCCTCTGCTTCCTCCGAACAGCAATGGTAAAATGTGCTTTCTTTAGATTATTTTAAAAACAGAGAGAAAGAGAAAGGGGAGAGGAGTGAACAGCGGCTCGCGAGGGTGAAGTGCGAATGCCGGGATGGGGCGGGAGGGGTGGGCCCTGGCGGGTGTTCCTGAAGCAGGGGGTTCTGGAGAAGAATCCAGGGGCTGGTCAGCTTCCTCTCACTGACCATCGGCCTTAGATTTCTTTGGAGCAGATTTCCTTGGAAGGCAGAAAAAGGAAAGAGAAAGTTAGTGTGGGCCCCGCACCACTGGAGGCCCTGCCAGTGCAGGGCCTGGTGTGGGGCCGGTTACGGGCCCCCAGTCAGTCATTTGACGAGAGGCTGAGCCCAGCTATTTCCACTCCCCAGCCTCGAAGGTTCCTGAAAGGGGCTTCCTGCTTACATTTCTGGAGAGGACATGGGCCG